CACACACACACACGTATAACCATAGGAAGTACGTGACCGCGTCACAGATAAAACGCGTCAAACGGCTTCTAGTCACCTGTTTCTAGACTATCATATTGTAAAGTTTGTGGTCTGATCTGTTGTGTTTTAGTTGAAAATTGTGTTTGAATGAGTTAGAGTTAAGAAAAACAAGTTAGGCTATAGGTTTGATGAGTAAGGCAAATTTGTTGCATCAGTTATGACATAAAGGTGTCATTGATAGGAAAAAACGTTTTCTAAGAGAGAAAAAAAGGTATTCCTAACATTAGTAAAAATATTAGAAACTCAAATTGTTTTGGGGAATATATAAATATTAATAATTTAAATAGCCTATTTATAGAGAGTCAGCAAGAAAAAACAAAAAGAAAAAAAACCGAAAGTTAAGATTAATTATTAAATATCAGTTATTATAAATGATATATTACAAGTAGCCTAAACTGAATAAAATATTTTCTCAAATAGGGACATACCTCGCCGGAGTAATATGACATCCATTGATCGCTTCTCTCCCGTTTCACTTCCTCAATCATGTCTTCTGTTACTCAACTAAATAATTATTTAGCTAATAATGCAAAATGACAGAGTGAATGAATTAGGTAAAACGCTATTTAAATATCAACGAGTATCACAGAGCATCCTAACACAGTGTGTAAGTCAGGACAGTTTGAAGTGTGCTCCTCACAGACTGAGTCCCATATATGAGCCAGAGCTGATCTCCCGCCCTCTGACCAGTGTCCTGCCCACCTCCTGCCCTCTGAACACTACTCCACTGCTGTGTTCACTTTACTGAGCGATTACACGCCTTCAATAAAAAGATCACCTCACATTTTATTCTCACAAAATGGGCAGTTACAGGCCTAGCCCAAACATCGTTCAACCTGTGTTCAAACGACTTTAAGTAAACAAGGTAACACTATAACACAACAATGGTCTCTTGATAATGTGAAATTACAATGTTTCTTTCTCGCATAAATCTTTCTTCATCATTGATACCTTGATAAAGACTAATATGTGGAATTATATGTGGAAACAGAATAATCAGCAGCAAAAAGTATAGGCCTAGATACACATATATTATCAAATGAATAAGACTTGTTTTTATGCTTAATACAAATACTCAAATACATCTATTAATGTGATAATGTGACAAAATGATCACACCTAATATGTTTCTACGATTAAAAAATAATTGTTAAGAGGTCAATAATGTTAAAATCTATTTCTGACACTGATACTACTATAAAGACCCTTAGAAATATATTCATGTGCATCTCTTTTTTCATTTTTTTTTTCAGTCTGTAAGGTTGGCATTGTGTCTCATTCAGTGGTCACAGCTCACCCCCCTCCCCTTCTCTCACTCCACATCTCGGTGCTCTCCATTGTGGGAGACAGCTGTTTGGCGGATTGGGGGTGTTGGGTGTCATCTTTATTGATGGAAAGCAAACATTTACTCTGTGTGCCATTTAAAAGCACCACCCTCATCTGCCTGCCAGTTGAGCTCAGCCAATCAGAGGCCTCAAGAAACACTCCTGCTCTAATAAAACAGACTTTGTGAGTTGTGTATTCATATTGACAAAGGAGAGACCAAAATATTCATACCATACTTAAAACTTCCACAAATGGAGCACAGTTTTGAAAAAACTAAAATAACAAACACTCTGGGATTCCTCACATTTCCAGCTGTGCCATCATCCCCATGTGGAGGAAATGTTTATCTAGTGCTAAGTGCCTCCTGCATTAGATGAAACGCCCTTAAAAACAAGGCAATTAATTACATCCTATTCAGACCTATACCCAAGGTGTGAGAAATGCCAGGAACTTACTGATTAAATCACCAGTTGGGCATTAACACGGTCATATCTTAAGACTCTTTCTTAAATAAAGCTTTCTTGAAGATGAAATGAAGTTTGAGGCTAATGCATCAAGTAAGCATTGCAATGTTCTCTACTTTGATATGTGTTGATGACAAAAATATCAAAGGAATAAAAAAACCCCCATGGTTATTTATTTAAAAGCAAACAATAAAGATGCTTGATTGTGATAATCTAGAGCTCAAATCTAGATTAAAATACTGGTGCAATTCAACGATTTATGTGAAATGCAAAATAATTGAAGTTAAATGCAAATAAATAAATTAAATAAGCCAGTTTTCGTTATATCTTTTTTATTTCATGGAAATACAACATCATTATAATTCCTGTTCAGAACCATTTGTTGTACATTGTACTATTTTCTCCTTTTTTGTATTTCAAAACATGATCACTTGTACAACAATATGAACAAAAATCTCATGTCACAAATAGATCCATGATGACAATAAATTACACCTGTCATGCTTTGAGTTTTTAAAACGGCACTTCCTTAAAGTCAAAACATTTTGTTCCATCATCGTTCACATATTAACCCTTCCGAGAGCAAGAAAAATCAACTTTTATGCATAAATAGATTACTGGAAAATACCCATTTAATTCAACAGTTATTTAAAAACAGATTTAAATCAATCTGAAAACTCCTGGAAAAGAGGGAAATAACAGAATACGATGAGCATTCATGTGGTTACATTTACAACAGCCACATAAATTACAAAACTGAACAGAACGCTTGCCAATCTGTCTAACACTGCTGAAGCAAAGGGCCTGTGAGGGTAAATACTGAAATATTTCTGGAAGTTTTAGTAACCTTGATATTGAACAGTGGATGTCCAATGTTCCCATTTTTGTCTGTTATTGGTCAAGGTAATGCAGTATTACTACTGCAGTCTGTAACAATAAGAGGTGATTAAAGAGATGTCATCACAGTACAAATCCAGTTATTAGTACTTCAGAACCGCTTCACTAGTTAACACATGGTTATCGTGTATAAAATAGCCCAAATTAACAGTCCAAAGACTGAGATTAAACTGACAGAAAAGATAAGTGAGGTTACTTTTCAATAGTTGAGGCAAATACTGATACCAGTTAAGTACCAATAAAATTAGAACAAGTACTACACGCAATTCTTGACAGCATCAAACCGCAGCATTCACAATGATGGATGTTACAAATGCAAATATTTGTAAACCAGTGCTGTAATACAATAAAGAGAACAGAATGCTGTAAACAATTCTGGCCACTAAAGAAAGGGGGGAAATTATTAGGGATATTTGTATCCATAGTTGTACTCTTGCTTCTTGGGTTTGTATATTACAGTACAAAACATATTAGGATTTATGGAATTTGTGAGGTACATGCAAATACTATTATAAATGAAATCTGTATGGGCATGATGTTAAAAAAGAAAAACAAAACAAAACTGACATTAATCATGTTTTCTCTTAATAGATATTTATAATCAAAAGTCTTTTATATTTACTTTTTTTTTTTACTAGAACTTAACATTTGTTAAAACTTCCTCTGGTGACTTGGAGATATTTTCGGCAGTCCTAAATCTCTCAAAGTGGTTCACTTCAAATCTCATTCAGAACGGATAGTGAGTGTTGATATTCATAAGGGTTAGATAACAGCTGGGGCAGACTGAGAAATCTATTGTGTTTTTTAACCATGTGGCGAGACTAGAGGTTCGTCTCTTGTTTAAATAAAGCCGAGGCAATCTTGAAAGCTCTAAGGCCCTATACACTACGTCTGAGACCAGTGTCACACCAGAGGAAGAATAGGATAGCTGGAAGTCAAATAAAGTTTGTTTAACATGTGGTGGCCAGAGACTGATGTATAGGAGGCTGGAAACAGCGAACATGCTCCACAGTAGAACTGTCTGTCTCCACAGCCTTCATGTACTTGTTGAGGATGGCGAAGATCTCGTTGTTGAGAATCTGATACTTTCTGATGCGGTCTGCCATCTTCTTTAGGGGCTGAAAGTTACACGACAAAACATTTAACACAGAAGCCCATATTTACAAGTTGGAACATTTACACTACCTTTCAAAAGTTTGGGGTCTGTGTGATTTTATGATTTTGAAAGATGTCTCTTATGCTCACCAAGGTTGCATTTATTTGATCACAATACAGTAAAAACCGTAATACTGTGAAATATTATTACAATTTAAAATAACAGTTTTATTATTTTAATATTTTTTAAAATGTTATTTATTCCTATGATGGCAAAGGTGAATTTTCAGCAGCCTTCAGTGTCACACGATCCTTCAGAAAACATTTTAATATGCTGATTTGCTGCTCAAGACATTTGTGCTGCTTAATAATTTTGTAAAAACCATGATTTTTTTCAGTACTGTTTGATGAATAAAAAGCAGAAACAGACATTTTGTAACATTAGAAATGCATTTACTGCCACTTTTGATCAGTTAAATGCATCTTTACTGAATAAAACTAATGAATTTCTAAATGAATGAACATTAGTGTATATTGCATTGCTGACTGCTAAGAGCTTCCTGCAATGATTTATGCAATTTTTTTAAGTTTAAGTCTATGAAATCATAAACGTACCACATTTTTAATGATCTCATCTTTGCCGTCCTGCCTCTGGACCTTCAGCAAATGGTAGCAGAAGTCGAAGAGGTCAAAACGACGCTGTTGTCCTAATAGCACAATAATGGCACATCCAGCCCAGTTCAGACCATCACCGAAGCACTGCCTAAACACAAAACCCCCCAAAACATTTCAGTTATATGATGCAAGCTCGCTTACTATTAAAAACAGCCATGCTGAATGCATATGCATACTCTGCAGTGAACTCGTGCGTGCCCACAGGGATGCAGTACACAAACTGCATGGCGCTCCAGAGGCGGTGGAACTCCATGCACTCATCCACATGCATGACACCATTGGTGGGGGGAGGGCCTCGCCACACACTGTCCTGCAGGAAGCTGCGAATGCGTGTCAGGATGACTTCAAACATGGACAGACCACAGCACAGACGCTCCTTCGTCAGCAGGTCTCCTTCTCGTGCTATTGCAATTTGCTAAAAAGATGATTAAAAAACAAAACATTTGGTTAAAAGGGAGACCAAATAGATGCATAAACTTATATTACCAATTCAAAAGTTTGGGGTCAGTAAGACTTTTTTTCTTTTTTTCTTATTCTATTCAGCAAAAAGGCATTTAACTGATCAAATGTGACAGTAAAGACATTTACAATGTTACAAAACATTTCTATTTAAAAAATGAATGCGCTAGTGTTAAATATGTTCTGCTACTGACAATTGAGAAGAGCAACTTGGTTCTGATCTTTGAGTGCCTCACCTGTGGGGTCCCAAGTCTCTCAATGAGGGGCACCAGGTGAAGAGGAGCGTACTTTGCCTCCAGCCTCTTCATCCTCACCTCAAGTCGCTCCCCCTCTGTAAAATTAATCATTAAAGGAAGATTTCAGCAGGTATAAAATTATATATATGTATGTATATATAAGATCTCTTAATCAGAAAGCACCGAAGAGGAACATGATCTTGTAGTTTCTGAATGTAATTTTTCACCTTTGATGTAGACCCTTGGGAGGATGTTCTGGAATGGTGCAGCATGAAGTAAGTCACAAACTTCTTCCTGTGACTGAGTTCAAACAAACACCACAAAAACATGATGAGGAATGAATGAAAAACACTTCATCATCACACTGTTAAATGAAATCTGAATCAAGC